CTTTTGAGGAAACTCCATACTGTTTTCCATAGTAGCTGTTCCAATTTGCAGTCCCACCAGCAGTGTATGAGGGTTCCTTTTTCTCCGCATCCTCTCCAGCATTTATTTCTTGTCCTATTGATTGTGGCTATTCTAACAGGTGAGAGATGGTATCTCATTGTGGTTTTGATTTGCATTTCCCTAATAGCTAGCGATGTTGAGCATCTTTTCATATATTTGTTGGCCATTTGTATGTCCTCTAGGGAGAAGAGTCTGTTGAGGTCTTCTGCCCATTTTTTGATTGGATCATTTGTTTTTTTTGTTGTTATTGAGTTGTATGAGTTCTTTGTATATTTTAGATATTAGGCCCTTATTGGAGGCGTCGTTACACTTAAGTTTTTAATTCATTTTGAGTTTATTCTTGTATATGGTATAAGAAAGTGGTCTAGTTTCATTTTTTGGTCCAGTTTTTTCAGCTTTATTCATTGAAGAGGATACCTTTACCCCATTGTATATCCTTGACTCCTTCGTCATAGATTAATTGACCATACAGATGTGGGTTTATTTCTGGGGTCTCTATTCTGTGCAATTGATAAATGTGTCTGTTTTTATGCCAGTGCTATGTTGTTTTTAGTACTATCGTCTTGTAGTATATTTTGATATCATGTAGCATGATACCTCCTACTTTGTTCTTCTTTCTCAGGAAGTACTATTCTTGGCTATTTAGTCTTTTGTGGTTCCATATAAATTTTAGGATTATTTGTTCTAGTTAGGTGAAAAATGTCATTGGTATTTTCATAAGGATTGCACTGAATCTGTATGGATGTTTTATCCTTCCTATTAATTCTTCCTATCCATGAACATGGTAGATCCTTCCATTTATTTACATCTTCTTCAATTTCTTTCTTTAATATCTTAGTTTTCCAAGTACAGATCTTTTACATCCTTGGTTAAATTTATTCCTAGGTATTTTAATATTTTTGATGCAATTGTAAATGGAATTGTTTTCTTAATTTCTCTTTCTGGAAGTTCATTATTGGTATATAAAAATGCAACTGATTTCTGAATATTAATTTCGTATCCCACTACTTTATTCATTTATTAGTTCTAATAATTTTTTGTGTGTGTCTTTAGGGTTCTCTCTATATAGTATCGTGTTGTCTGCAAATAATGACAGTTTTACTTCTTCCTTTCCAATATGAATGCCCTTTTTTCTTTTCTTATCTGATTGCTGTGGATAGTACTTTCAATACTATGTTGAATAAAAGGGAAAATGGACATCCTTGTGTTGTTCCTTACCTTAAAGAAAAAGTTTTCAGCTTTTCACCACTGAGTATGACTTTAGCTGTGGGTTTGTTATACATGGCCTTTATTATGTTGAGGTATGTTCCCGCTATCCTTACCTTGCTGAGTTTCTATCATAAATAGATGTTTGATTTTATCAAATGCTTTTTCTGCATCTATTGATAGGATCATATGATTTTTATCTTTAATTTTCTTTGTGTGGGTCACTCCTAAAACAAGCAGAACTAATATGACAGCCCTATCTGTAAGGGGTCTCTTTTGGCTCACCTCAGTCCTAGGAGGGAACATGTGGCCCCCTGACCTTTGAGATTGATCCTCATGAATCTCATCTACATTCGTGGCCTTACAATTGAGCTTTACTCCTGAGCCCACCTGCTTTGTCCCTGCTCCCCTGACACTCCATGTGCAGTCCTGTCACCAGACCTTTGCCTAGGCTGCTCCCTGCACTGGAACTGTCATTCTTCTTTTCTCCTATTGACCTACACCCTACTTGTGTTCCAAAGTTCAGATCTCTCTGCTCCCTCAGAGAAGTTTTCCTGATTACCCTAATCCCTTCCCCTTCTCTCCAGCTGAAAACAAGTCCTGCCATCACAAATTCTATTACAGTGTATGAGCAACCTTGTCGTGATTCATTTATTTATTCAGCAAATATTTATTGTGCCCCCGGGCCCTATGCTGGGTGCAAGAATATGGTCAATCTGTTCTCCAGAGCTGCTGTTCTAGGGGGAGAGGATAACAAACAAGTCCAGTGTGATAAGTCGCTGACAGAAAATAAAGCAGGGGAAGGGGAGGGTGGCCGGCATTTTCAGTAGGGTAGTCGGGGGAGGCTACATTGAGGTGATGTTTGAACAAAGTCCTGATGAAAGGGATTAAGCCCAGTGGACCCTGGGACAATAGCCAGTGCAAGAGTCCTCTGAGATGGGAGTGTGCCTGGCACATACTTGTTCAAAGAACAGTGAGAAGACCAATGTGGCTGGAGCAGAGCGAGCCAGGGGCAGTGGGATCCGAGGCAGAGAGGTGTCAGTCAGATTGCCAGAGCGAAAGGAGGTACACGATGTGACTGAGGTCGAGTAAGAAGTCACATGTATGAAGTGGCAGCTCAACTGACGTGAATTAATAGCTCATCGAATCCTCCCTCCCCCACTGTGGCAGGATTATCATGATTGCTTTATAATTGAGGACAGGGAGACTTGGAGAGGTGGTGTGATGTATGTTGGATTGCCCAGCCCAGAGGTGATCTAGATCACTCACCCCTAGATCTGCCTGACCCTGGGACATGCCTGAGCTGCCCTGCTCAGAGTTTCACATCCAGTAGGTACAGTGCAGACTGATAGCTTAGATGGGGCTTTCCATTGACGGGCTATGTGGGCAAGTGTAATCCCTACCTCTTCTTCTTTCTCTGCCTGGCCCTGGGGTAGTCTTGGCCCTTGGGCAGGGGGCTCTGGGATGACAGTGAAAGCGTCTCTTGTGTGTGTGTGTGTGTGGGGGGGAGGCATCTGTGGGCTTTGTACCAGGATGGAGACATGTCCACCACAAGGGGACTTGAAAAAGAAGCTGTCTCCTAGCTCCCTTCAACATAGAGGTTCCCCCCCGCCAAACCTTGGGGCTCCTCCAATGTTAAGCTCCGCCTCCCAACATGGAGGCCTTGGTCAGAAGTGGAGTCTAGTCTGACAGAGGTGGCACGAGGTGGCGGCAGCTCAGAAGGAAAGTAGAGGCAACAGTCTTGGTTTTTGCAGGTTGTATCAGTGGATCTTGGGTTGTCTATGCGATGTTGGCGGAGTTGACTATTTTCAGTTTTTTGGAGAATAAATGAGCAAGAGGGGATAGGGCAGCCCCAACAACTCCCTGATAAGTAAAGACAGAAGACAGTGGGATCTGGAAAGACTCGGGAGGATGAGTATAATCTTCTAGTACCTCCCACGTTGAGCAAATCTGACATTTGAAAATCGTTTTATATAAGAGTTTTTCTAAATTCAGTTTTGTAGGTTACAAGCTCCTGTAGACCAGGAGGTGTTCTATAGCTTGGAGATCATCCTTTGAACAGTGTTGAACAATTTCAGGGTGTGAGTGATACTATACTTGTTGTTTTAAGAATTTCATAGTATCTAAGTTAAATGAGCCTGAATATTTCTAAGACAGAGGAACTAATCTTATGCCAAATCACAGCAAAGACTGGATTAAAGGCATCTCTGTTTTTTGTGTCTGGCCCCAGAACTTCCAGTTCTGAAGGAGAGACCCACACCCCCACATGCCGGCTCCCTAAACTGAGTTTATTGAATCGGGCTCTGGTTTGCAGGTCCAGGTAAACACCTCCTTAGGTCTGAGATGTAGTGGGAAACCTTAGGGTCTGGCCAGATCCTAATAAGTGTTGGGGTCCGCAGGCCAAGCCCACCTGCCCAAGGGAGGTGATGGAAGCGTGAGAGACAAAGGAGATATGCTATAAACCTGACAAACTATCAGTAAAGCCACACGGAAGGCCTGAAAAATTCAATGACCAAAAGCAACCAAACAGGACGGTCTAATCAGAAATTCTCAGCTGGGCAGGTGACGGCGAGAAGTCTAGTGACGTCTCAGGCCTATGCTTCCTTAGCAAAGGTCAATCTTTACCTTAAGGGAGTCCTGTCCATTGTTCTTATGCATCTAGGATAACATACCTGTGAAATGTCAGAGTAATTTTCTGTTCCAGAAGGCACAACTGCATGCACAAGAGCACAAGCCCACCCACATTATCTTGTTGCCTGCATAATGCCTCTATTTACTGTAAAAGTTAATGATCATGTCTCCATCAATATAAAAGAAGTTTCTCCATTTTGCTTTTTAGCCAGTCCTAGAGATTTCCCCGCTTTGCTTTCTCTCACCTCTTTAATCTATCACCAATGGCTTTGCAGCCATCTTTTGATTCTAATGTATAAAATAAGCTGCAAAACTGTCATTCCTGGAGCGTTTTCTGTCTGTTGAGATTTTTGCTTCTTGGCATGTCTTCGAGATTTTGGCTCAAATAAGGTCATAAAACTTTCCTATAGGCTAAATATTCTTTCGTGGAAAGAAGTTTCCTGAATCTTGCAAAAAACGTCAGGGCCAGGTCAGTTTCAGGCTGGAACGGTGCTCAGAGTGAGGTGTGGGGTAGAAAGGTCTACACAGCTGGACTTTCTGATGGCAGAGCAGGAACAGTCTCCTGCCTTTTAAACAGGTAATTAACTTAGAAAGGCTGAAGAGCCCCGAGGGGACCCAGCTTCGCACACTCGCTCATGTTATACACGGGGAACCGAAGCCCACAGAGCGGAGGTATTTTCCCTTGAGGTCACACGAGGTATCAGGGCGAGGACTTAGAATCAAACCCAGATTTCTCCACCCCACGGACGTGACTCCAAGTGACTGGTGTTCTTCTAAAGCGACACTTGTTTTAAGCGAGTTGGAAGGAGCGAGCCATCATTTTTAGAGTCCCCGAGGAGCGAAGGGCCGTCCAGCGAGGAGCGGCGCGAGCGCCCCGCCGCGGGCGCTTTCGGGGGACGCACGCACCTCGACTCGCGCGCCCTGCACTTCCGGGACTCTCGCCGTTTTCGCAGTGGGCGGTTAAGCCCGGGCCCCTCAGTCCCGCCCTCAAGGCCGCTTGGGAATTGTAGTCCCACCGTCCTCCAGACACCCGGCGGCTGCCGTCCCGGAACTACATTTCCCAGAAGGCCGCGCTCGCCGTCTGGGTAACCGGGTCACGGGCCGGCGGGGCGAACCCCTCATCCTGGACTCCTTAATTTCTCCGGGGGGATGAGTGACGGCGGGCAGGGGCGTTTAGTGGCGCCGTCTGCAGGATGCCCGACCTGGCGCGGCTGGGCGCAGAGACCGCGTACCCGGCCCGGCAGCTCTGCTCTCGGTAGGCGGCCAGCAGCCAGAGCGCTGCGTCCCCTTTAACCGCAGTGGGCGGGGCGCGGGGACGCGACCCGCGTTGCTATTGGCGGCGGTTGGGGGCGCGGAAACTGAACGCGCCGCCACAGTAGCCGCTGCCTGCTCCGGCTCCTCCGGCGCCTCGGGCGCCCCCGGCCGCACCATGGCCGCGCCCTGCCCGGTAAGTTCCTGTTGGCGGCAGCCGCCTGGGCCTTAGTCTCCTCGCGGGGGTAATGGGCTCCTGGCTGGCGCGAAGGCTGCGAGGGGGGCGGGCGAGAGCCGAGCCCGCCCTCCCCGGCCCCAGTTTACCGTCTGTGCAGGGGCCGCTGGGTCGGGGCACCTAGTGAGCGCCTCCTGCGTGCCAGGACCTGTGCGGGCTACCGGGGCGAACACACCGGTTCCTGCCCCCAAAGTTACCGTCCTGGCGGGGACACACTAGTACGTCGCGACTGGAGGTGTGACCTAGGACCAGCGCCGGGCCTCTCTGGTCTCAGTCTCAACCATCCTGTGCCGCTAGCGGATGGCTGCATGAGGCCTGTTGAGAGTACATCATGCTCCGACGGGTGGGAACAGCAGGCCACTGGGATGCCCGGGACCGCCCAGGCATGCCGTGTGTCCTGGGCCTGGCTGCCCACTCTGAGTCCCAGGCTCCTCCAGAGGCCAGAAGGGGGACACTCCATAGCCCCTCTTTTTGAGAGATCGTTTCGAGTTTGTCTGACTAGGTTGTGAATCTCGGATGCTGAGTGGTGGCCCGTTGGTCCTATTAGGCATCTGGGGACTTGAGCAGAGGGCCCAGGCTGGGATCCAGGCCTTTGACCCCTTATCTAGTGCTCTTCCCACAAGACCTCCGCAGCCCCCAGTATATAAATCACTTTGGGGGAGATCATGAAACACAGGGCCCAGGGGATTGGAAGAGAAGGCGTTGGGAGATCTCCTCCCCCCGTCAGGCGAAGACCTGAACTTGCCCCTCCCCCCTGGGCCTAGAGGTGAGTACTGCCTTACCCTTGTTCTTCCAAGAGACTCAGGTGGGTCAGCTGCTGCTCCGTTGGGGCCCTCCCCCAGCCGCCACTCCCTCTCATTGAAAGGGAGACTCTGGCTGGTGTGTTGGGGGCGGAACTGGGCACTGGGCCGTGGGGGCCTCTGTTCTGGTTACAGCTCTTTGGAGTGGCAGTGTGGCTTTGCTCTACCCCGAGGACATTTTTTTCCCAAGAGGAGGCCTTGCTGGGCTCTGTGGGTTCCTTTAGGTTTCTGATGCTTGGGGCGGGACAGGTGGTTGCTCGCATGCTGGGATCTAACTCCTCAAGTGCTAAGGCAGGAACTACTGTTAGATGGAGAATCTGGAGTATCATCTCCATGGCTTCCTAAGTGGGGTCCTGAACTAGGGCTTCTCTGACTGGGCCACCAGCGGCCCCTCCAGGGCTGGCCTTTGGGTTCACTGGCCATTCTGCGTTGGGATCAAACGTATGGGCTCTGATTCCTGCGATGGAGCGTGCCGAAAGGCCCTCCTTCGGTTTTAAAAAAAATAACTTTATGGAGACTTTATTCACATACCATAACCGTCACTCTTTTAAAGTGTAAAATTCAGTGGTTTTTAGTAATTTTACAGTGTTGTGCAACCATCATCACTCTCTAATTCCAGAACATTTTTGTCACCCCAAAGAAACTTTCCCATTAAGCAGTCACTCCCTTCCTTCCCTCCCCCTAGCTCCTGGCAACCACTAATCTATTTTCTGTCTTTATAGTTTTGCCTATCCTGGACATTTCCTGTAAATGGAATCAAATAAAATGTGGCCTTTTGTGCCTGCTTCTTTCACTAGGCACATATTTTCAAGGTTCATCTATGTTGTAGTGTGTGTCAGTGCTTCGTCCCTTCCATGGCTGAATAATATTCCTTTATATGGATATGTCGCATTTTGTTTATCCATTTACCCATCAATGGGCCTTTGGGTTTGTCCACTTTTTGGCTGTTAGAATAAAACTGCTATGAACATTTGTGTACAGGTTTTTGTGTGAACATGTTTTTAATTCGAATTTTTACCTTGAATTGCTGGGTCATTTGATGACTAACTTTTTGAAGAACTGCCAAGCTTTTCTGCAGGGGCTGTTTTTTCTCTTTTTTGGATTTTGAAAAAGATTTTGCCTATTTTGGCTGTCTCACATTTTCATATGAATTTTGGGATCAGCTTGTCAATTTCTGCAAAAAAAGTCACCTAGGATTTTTATCAGGATCATGTTGACTCTGTAGATCAAGTTGAGGAGCATTGCATCTTAAAAATACCAGGTTTTCCAAACTAAACATGGGATGTTTTTACATTTATCTAGCTCTTTCTAAGTTTCTATCAACAATGCTTTGTAGTTTTCATTGGATACATCTTGTACTTTTTTTGTTAAATTATTCCTAAGTTTACTTAAATTTTAAATACATCATAAATACACCCTAGTAGCTTATTTACATTTTTAAAATGTATCATAGATAGAATTACCATCTTACTTTTTTTAGATTGTCCATTGCTGGTGTACAGAAATGCAAGTAACTTTGTTGATTTTTGTATCCTACAACCTTGCCAAGCTTGTTTATTCTGATGTTCATTTAGTGGGTTCTTTAGAGTTTTCTTTATATAAGGTCATGCATGAGCATGCTTAAACTTTCTTAGTTGTTGCCTCTTCCTCAACCAGCCTTCACACCTTTGACCCTGGTCTCTCCTAGGAGGACCCGTCGCTGGAGAGGCATTTTAAAGGCCACCGAGATGCAATTACCTCTGTGGACTTCAGTCCCAACATGAAGCAGCTGGGTAAGAGGAGGCATCTTGTCCCAGGCACTAGGTTATGAGCTGAGAAGCCCGAGTTTCCACCTGGGGGTGTGGCGTGGGGGAAGCAGGGCCTTGTGAGGGCCCCCATGCTCTGACTATGCCTGCACCTTGCTTCAGGCAGCCAGCTCTCTGGGTGCAGGGCTTCGTGGGCTCCATTCTACAGGCGGGGTGTGAGGCCCAGAGAGGTTGGGGCCTCCAGAGTCCCCACAGCCTTCGAGGGTGGGACTGGGTTCTGGCTTTTCTCATATGCTCCAGCCACGTCTCGGGTGGGCCCTGAGTGGGGCTTCCTTTTCCGTGGGTCTTTGTCAGTCTTGTTGGCCACAGTAATGTGGCACACCGTGTCGAAGATGCCTACCAGTGAGAAGGGTGTCGGGCCTGGCACTCCCCTCCCCGCTGCCCTCGGGCCGCAGCTGAGCGCCCCCTGATTTGGCTACTTGGGGGTTCATACACAGCCATCCTTGTTTCTGTGGGCAAGATTTCCCCTTCATCTTATGGTCAGAGTCCCCCGCCAGAGGCTGCTGGCCTTGTGGTCACTTCAGATTAACGGGAAACGGAAATCATTTTTGGTCCACCTCGGGGACCTCCTCTAGGCTTCTGAGTGGTAAAAGGCCCGTGGGGTGGGGCTGGCTCCCCAGCGTTGGGAAGACTTGCCGTCTAGGGCTCTCAGGGCGTGTCTGTGGGGAGACTGGGACCCAGGGCCGGCACATGAGAGCACCTCGTGATCTGGTTCCCAGGTGGGCCTGCTGCTTGGAGAGCTGGCAGGCCACAGGTTCTCCAGACTCAGTCATGGTTCACTGGAGGTGCGACCTGTTCCTGTGGGGAAAGGGGAGCTGCTGCTCCCCGTCCCATCACCCCAGAGTCCCGGTGGAGACTCGAGGCCCTCTGGAGCTGAGCATCACGGTGTTCCCACTCTCCTCAGCCAGTGGCTCCATGGACTCGTGCCTCATGGTCTGGCACATGAAGCCCCAGTCACGTGCCTACCGCTTCGCGGGCCACAAGGACGCTGTCACCTGTGTGAACTTCTCCCCTTCGGGACACCTGCTTGCCTCGGGCTCCCGTGACAAGACTGTCCGAATCTGGGTACCCAACGTGTGAGTTATAGGCTCTGAGGATCTTGTGTGAGTCTGGGGCCCTGGTGCCAGAGCTGTCCTCACCCGGCTCCGCATCCTAGCTCTGGACTGGTTACAGTGGGGCATCTAACCCCCTCCTGAGGAGGTGCCCTCAGAAGCTGAGGCTTCAGCTGGGGCCTTCCCCTTGGGGTCGGGCGATGAGTTCTGGGCTGACCCAGCTGTCCTGGAAGGGAGTCCGCCCGCTGCTGCTCATGTGTGGACGAGCAGGGGCATCTGGCCGCCTTGTTTGGGGACTGGGCGCTCAGGCTTTGGGAGGGGCTCCCAAGGGGTGGGGAGAGCTTCGACGTGCTTGTGGGCCCTCATGTCGCTGTCGGGGGTGCCTGTCCCCTTAGCAAAGGTGAGTCAACGGTGTTTCGTGCTCACACGGCCACAGTGAGGAGCGTCCATTTCTGCAGCGATGGCCAGTCCCTCGTGACGGCCTCTGATGATAAGACAGTCAAGGTGTGGTCGACTCATCGCCAGAAGTTCTTGTTCTCACTGAGCCAGCACATCAACTGGGTCCGCTGTGCCAGGTGAGCGCCCTCCTGCCCAAAGATCCTTGGAAGGACGGGGGTTCGGGGGCACAGAGGGGCTGCCGGGACCCAGCGTCGTGACCTTGGGCAAAGTAGCCGCTCTCCGAGCCTCCTGAGCCTTGGCTCCCTTATCTGTGAAATGGGGACAGCAGCAATTCTTCCATCATAAGTTGCTGGGAGGCTTCGCTGAGCTGATGTGTGACAAGTAAGTTATCCCCGTTGCTGGCCGCGAGACCCGACCTCCATGCTGACGCAGCCCAAGGCACAACGACAGGGGCCGCTCACTAGCAAGAGCAGCCATGACAGGAAGGTACTGTCAGCCCTGCACTGTGCGTTCCTCCCCATTCCTCCTGGCAGTCCCGCGAGCTGGGCAGTGTCGCCCCCACTCTGTAGATGAGGACGCTGAGGCCAGGGCACGTGGTGGGAAAGTGGCAGAGCTGGGCTTGAACGAGTCTGGCTCTAAGGCTTGTCTACTTTCCCCTGGGGCGTTCTGCTCCTCTGAGGTTGATTTTGTTCCTCTGTTGCTTTGGTGGTGGGGAGGGGCAATACTGTAGGGATGGGGTGACCCAAAGGACCTTTCGAGGTTCAAGAGTTGCAGACATAGATGAGCCTGCTTCCGGCTTAGTCTGTTTCTTCCAATAGAGATCTCACCTGTCAAATCTCTGCTGCAGAGGAGGAGGCTGCGGGTGTCTGGGGATACTGGGGAACTATGGGAATCAGGTTGGGGGCTGTGGCTGTGTTCTGGGGACCCCATGCAACTTACTTGTTCTCCAGGGCACCTGTTCCTTTGTCCTGGGAGGTCCCTGGTTCTGAGACCTCATTATCAGGATCCTGAGGATGGGGGGCCCAGGCCAGCAGATGAGTGTCAAGCCCATACTGGCCTTTGGTAGTGGAGCCCAGGACCTCCGCTTCGTCGTTGGCACATTATGTTCTGCTCGTCCATTCTCAGAGTCACATGTAGACTTGGGGGACCTAGAACAGGACAATGGTGCCGATGGTGGGCTTGGGACCACCTAATGCCGATAGCACCAGCAGTTAGCACGCACGCTGCCACATGGTATGTGCAGTGTGGGGTGCTTGCCTCATCTCACAGAGAGAAGCCACTTGCCCAGAGTCACTTGGGTCACAGCAGGACATGTAGCCGCACTGATGCCCGGGATCAGGTGGTAGTGGGCAGTGCGGGAAGGTGGCTGTGGGAGGTGCCATGTGGCGCCCATGGTGTCTGTTAGTTGGTCATGTGACTTGTGCCCTGCCTGATTCAGGTTCTCCCCTGATGGACGGCTCATCGTGTCTGCCAGTGATGACAAGACTGTCAAGCTGTGGGACAAGACCAGCCGGGAGTGTGTCCACTCGTACTGTGAGCATGGCAGGTGAGTCCCCAGACCATCCTCCACCTGTAGGCACCTACGAAAAGTCTGGACCTGGACACGAGGAGGCCCCGGTGGTCTCCAGTGGCAGCGGTGGTGGGGCCGGCGGTCGCATCTCGGCTGCGCCCTGTCTTCTGTCTCTGCATCTTTCCTGTGACTGGAAGGTTCAGCTTCATCCCCATTCCCATACACGAGGGGTGTGCTGAACCCCAAGGCATGCGCGTCTTGGCGGCTATCTTTTCCCTTCCCTTTCTGGTCCTCAGATTGTGACATGTTTCTCTGAAAGCAGTTGAACCCAGACCCCTGAAGAGCATATTAGTGTGTTACCTGGTGATGGTTTTATGAGTGGAAGGACCGTTGTGGTCTTGTAGTGGGTGGCAGCTGTTCACGCTGTGCTGTGTCATCAGGAGAGGGGGGTCCTGCATCTGAGCAGGGATTCACCTGTCTTGGGTTCCTAGATGAACCCCAGCTTTGCCCTCTTCAGTGAGGCCGGTGAGGGCCCCTCCTGAGATCCTGCCACGATACCGACCTGGGTGTCCCGTACGGGTGGGTGTGTTGCGGGCCCTCATGTCTGGGGCCCCGGCTCTCACTCTGAAAGCCCTGAGCGGCCGGCTGCCCGTTGGTCCAAAGGCCACTTTCCCTCCTTGTGTTTAGAATTGGTGCTAGGCCTCAGCCCCTGGTCAATGCACCTGCGTCACTCAGCCACTGCTCTCACCCTCCCCTTCCTCTCCCTTGGCCACCTGCTGAGGGAACCAGGTGGGAGGGAGGTGACCCTGGGCTGAGGGACAGTGAGAGCAGATGGGCGAGGCTGGGACGGTGCTCGGTGTTTGGGGATCTGTTCTGAGCCAGCGCACATGTCCTGTACACGTGGTGGCTCCTGTCTTTCCAGTTTCGTCACCTACGTGGACTTCCACCCCAGTGGCACGTGCATCGCCGCCGGCGGCATGGACAACACGGTGAAGGTGTGGGATGTGCGCACTCACCGGCTCCTGCAGCACTATCAGCGTGAGTGTCCGCGAGCGGCCCGCTCAGTATCTGTTCTGAGCCAGCGCACATGTCCTGTACATGTGGTGGCTCTTGTCTTTCCAGTTTCGTCACCTACGTGGACTTCCACCCCAGTGGCACGTGCATCGCCGCCGGCGGCATGGACAACACGGTGAAGGTGTGGGATGTGCGCACTCACCGGCTCCTGCAGCACTATCAGCGTGAGTGTCCGCGAGCGGCCCGCGCGCTGCTGCCGCGATCCAGCGACCTGACAGCCCTGGCCAGGCGGGGCGCGTCCTGGGTCTTTCGGGCTCTCAGACGCGGGTGGTCTGTGGTGTTGCCGTCCTGGCATGGAGCCTTGGCCAGGAGATGGAGTGTCACGTGACCTGGCATCCACTAGGCACTTCAGTGACCGCTTACGAGGTGACAGTCGCATGCCCACTGCAGGCCAGACGGGGAGCCCTCGATGGGTCTCTGGCCGGGGCTCCTCTCAAGGGGCTTCTCTCAGGAGCTGCCTGTGTCACTTGGCTCCCTGTGTATTGGAGGCTCTGCCCCCCAGGGCCAGGGTGACAACCCTTGACCTGCGGTGAAGGGGGCATGTCTGTCAAAAGAGGTCATTGTTGATGGGATGTTGGCCGTCTCTGGCCCCACAGAGCCCTCCATAGATGTAGAGCCATGAGCCATCTGGAGGGTCAGTTTAGCTTGGGGTCAGGCACAGGAGCCACCCCTGAGGCTGTGTCCTCTATTTAGTTGTCGCTCTTGGAAGGCAGGGCAGTGGCTGGAGTCTGCTCCAGGGCGAGTGGGGCGGGGCAGACGTGGGTGTGACCGGGAGGGCATCGCTGAGGGCGGTGGAGTGTGGGGCTGGCCTGAGAGCCATGTGACTAGGCAGAGCCGTGGGTCACCCCGAATGTGGGGATGGAGCCCAGCGAAGGGAGCAGTGAGGGGGAGCGGCTGTGAGTTGGGGGGGAGGCTCCGCGGGCTCCGGGCTGGGACCTGGAGGGGTGGAGCTGGAGTTGTTGGAAGAGCTATGGATGCCGATGGGGCTGAATTGAGAGTTCACAGACTCGCTTCCAAAATTCACACCTGACGGTGGGAGGGTCACGTCTGGACAAAGGTGTAGGCTTGAGGCTCAGGGCCGTCCCCCCAACAGCCCACAGAGCCTTCCTAGCCAATTATCAGACACTTGAGAACAGCATTTTCTTGGGGTAACCAGGGTGACACACTTCCCTTGAAGGGGGAGCAGATGCCAGTCTTGAAAAGCACAGGTGGAGGGTGGGCTCTGCAGCCAGCTCAGCGTTCTTAGCTGTGTGACGCTGAGTAGGTCACTTGTGCCTATCCAGCCCCCTGGACAGTGATAGGGCCTGTCTCACAGGTGGTGTTGGGAGGGTTTTGAGTTGTCCATGTCAAGGACTTAGTGCTTGGTACAAATCAGGAACCAGGTACAGTGTTGGTGACAATGACAGTGGTGCTGAGTCAGGAGGTGAGGAGCTCCTGAGGGGTCAGCGTCTTTGGTCGGGGCTTGTAGTACCCTGCACCACCACCAGGTGGCGGGGGCCAGCCACAAGCACAGGTTCTTTCCTCCACGGGCTGATGCTGTCTGGTTCACACAGAGGCTTCTAGAACAGAGCAGCAGCAGGATCTGCTTTCGACTTGGAGGCCACACTTCTCCCCTCCTTCAGGCTCAGAAGCCTGAGTTGGAGATCGGGAAAGGTGTGTAGGTACCGAGGAGTGCGGGGCGTGAAGGCCACCTCCAGGCGTGGGGTCAGGAGAGCGGGCTTGGACAGGGAGAGGTGGGGAGGAAGGTGACGAGGCCCTGCGGTGGCTGGGAGCACAAGCTGGCCTTGTCTGTGCAGGGGGAGGTGATAGTGCCCTCATGGGGTTCGTGGGGTTATAATGCAGTGCCGGGGGCGTGGTTGGTACCACAGAAGTCTTGGGAGGGTCCAGGCCCACCTCTGATGGGTCGGCACCCCGGGCCTGGTGTTGGTGGGGTGCTGCAGCACCGGGCACCCATTTGGAAGGGCCTCGGATGCCATGCTCTGTCTCAGGGTCCAAAGGTGTGGCCTGGCTGCCAGTGCTGGGACCAGCCCGTCACTCAAGGAGTGAAGGGGTGGGGGGCACGTGAGGACAGCAGCAGCAAGAGCTTGCTTGGGTAGGAAGCCGGTGGGCCTGGGGGGCTGGCCGGTGGGCCTGGGGGACTGACCGGGCACCCATTTGGAAGGGCCTCGGATGCCATGCTCTGTCTCAGGGTCCAAAGGTGTGGCCTGGCTGCCAGTGCTGGGACCAGCCCGTCACTCAAGGAGTGAAGGGGTGGGGGGCACGTGAGGACAGCAGCAGCAAGAGCTTGCTTGGGTAGGAAGCCGGTGGGCCTGGGGGGCTGGCCGGTGGGCCTGGGGGACTGGCCGGTGGGCCTGGGGGGCTGGCCGGTGGGCCTGGGGGACTGGCCGGTGGGCCTGGGGGACTGGCGGGGTGGGGGCCCGGCTGGTGGGC